AATGTACAGCTGAGTATCATCAGCGTACTGATGGAAATCCACCCCAAAGCCACGGATGATCTCCCCCAGCGGCTTCACATAAATATTGAACAATAAGGGGGAGAGGACCGACCCTTGTGGCACCCCACAAGTTAGGGGCCTTGGGGTCGACCTCTGTCCCCCTGCCAATACAGACTGCGTGTGGTCGGTGAGGAAGGAGAACCACCGTATAACGGTGCCTCCCACTCCCAACCCCACCAGGCGCCGCAGCATGATACCATGGTCCACAGTATCAAAAGCTGCTGAGAGGTCCAAAAGAACTAGGACAGAGGAATGACCCCTGTCCCGGGCCCTCCAGAGATCATTCACCAATGTGACCAATGCCGTTTCCGTGCTGTATCCCGGCCTGAAGCCCGACTGGAGCGGGTCTAGATAGACTATTTCCTCCAGGCGCCGGGGGAATTGCTGCGCAACCACACTCTCAACAACCTTCGCCACAAAGCGAAGGTTGGAGACCGGGCGATAGTTAGCTAATACATCTGGGTCCAGGGAAGGCTTCTTAAGGAGGGGCCTCACCACCGCCTCCTTCAGGGCTACGGGGAAGACACCCTCCCGTAAAGAAGCGTTTATAATTCCCTGGAGCCAGGCTCGTGTACCCTCCCGGGCAGCCAGTACCATCCAGGAGGGGCACGGATCCAGTAAACATGTGGTTGCATTCAGCCTCCCCAGGATCCTGTCCACGTCCTCAGGAGCCACCGAGTCAAACTCCTCCCATATAACAGTCTCAAGACTTGCTCCTGTCTCCTCCCCCGGGGCCACCCAGTCAGAGTCAAGACTTTCTCGAATCCGAGCGACTTTGTCATACAGATATTGAGCAAAATCCTCGGCCCTCCCCTCCAGGGGATCCTCCCCCCCCCTCAACTGAAGGAGAGAGCGGGTCACCCTGAAGAGGGTGGCCGGGCGATTATCTGATGACGCAATGAGGGTGGAGTAGTAGTTAGACCTCGCCACCCTCATCGCCACTAGGTAGGATCTAATCTGTATCCTTGCCTGTGCTCGATCGGATTCGCTTCGGCTCGCCCTCCAACTGCTCTCTAGGCGTCTTTTC